TCAGTTGAACATTTACTGTTAGATCTTTAATGCCACTTTTAATGTCGGTTCAATGTTTTGATCATCTGTCACATTCATTTCTTATTTAGGGGATTTCTCTGGTAAATACTGATATGCGATTTACATTTATCATCACTTCTATGTATGTGGATCACATGGTCCCTTCAGAAATAAATAAAGAAATGAATACTAAATAAAATCTTTTTAGAGAGCCTATATGTCATTTTGAATAGCAACCTTCTGTGTAGCGATGCTAGCAGATAGTAAAGAAAATAACACCTATGTGATGGAAAGAGCTGTGAATATTGTCTCTTGAAAATGTATCTTGGCTGAAAAGGTTGGGTATGATCAAAGAGTTGGAAGGGAGCTCCTCAGTGTTGTGGTTGGAAAGATTGCTTATTGGTGCAAAGTATTTTTAAATACACAATGTATGTTGTTCTGGGAAATTCACCTCAACAAGTTTAAAAGGTACAGAAATAATGAATGTTGTTTTCGAAATACTGTACATCTGACCTATATGTACTGTGTTTTGTGTACTATAGGGAATTAGGCATATTTGGATGATGGGAATGTTACTATATTAAATAACAGTCAAACACTGTGGTACAACAGACAGATTAAATAATATCTGCCATTTTTTTTAAATATAAGAAATATAAAGGCCCATTTTAAATACCCTATTATTATTTTTTCATGTAAAGCACTTGAACCCCAGAAATAATTAATGTATAAAACATAAGAGTTTAGAAATAAAGCCATTTTACCACATCAGAGGTCTCAGCTAACTGATTGATCTTTCAGTCTGAAATCAAGAGACCATTTGAGCCACGTTCACCACAAACGTCCACAAGCGATTGCAACATCACAAACAGAATGTGATAAAAGAATAGTGACAATAAAATACCAATATGCTTGCCTTGACTGATGAGGACTGTGGGCTATGACTGATAAAGAATGTGGTAGCAAGTACTACCTCAAATCACAGAGTCATGCTTAAATAGAATCATCATTTGTCTATATAAGGAGAAGATACTAAACAGAGTTCCAGTCAGAGGCCACAGGGTATAACATCATTTACTGTAGAGTGGCTGAGAGGAAGAAGCTGCTCAGTACAGCCTGAGAACTGCTGTGGTGAACATCAGCGGAGAAACATTGAACGTCTTCACTGACATAATCGGAATAAAATAAAACTGCATTAACCATATTTTATAATGTGTTATAATTAAATATGAGATATATTAATTTGGATCAATATAAGACATTTTATTTAGACAAGAAATAGTTTTACAAAACACATGTACAGTGCATATTTACCTAATCCACCTGTAGTAAGTGTGAGTGTGTGTGCGTGTGTATATATATATATATATATATATACACACACACACACACATAATATGTTATACATTATAAATAAGAACACAAGGGTGTTTGTTTGCACCTCTGTGCACACATTTGCAAGCATGATTTGCACACATCACAGTTTGATCATTTTCCAACCACAGGACTGACCCACTGGCGTGTTTTCACACCTTTCTCTGAATCAAAACCACACACGCACCATTCTCTAACTAAAAAATTACTTGCCTCCATTATAGGAGTCAAAAATAACCCTTCAATGTGTACATTTTTGTCACAACTTATTCCTTAGTTTGAAGTTTCTAGTTTAAGCAGAAACAGCAAAAACAGCTAAATCTTCTCAATGATTCACAACAGTGCCGTGTGAAACCGAAAGGGTTTTTTGACTCATGGTCTTATATACTGTAATAATTAGTATAAACCAATACTGCAACAATACTTATCAGGCTCAACTTTTACATCTTGAGAGCTCACTTTACACCTTAGAGCTGGGGCCGGGCCTGCTGATGAACTTGAGAACATGTGTGGCTCTTATACTGTCTGCAACCATCCTTCAAATACACAAAATGGACCTGGCCAAGTCATAGACTGACAAAAGGTTATTTAATTTAAAGATATAATTACTAAGAACATACTACATTTAATCCATTACATATATCTGAAAATGTGAATTCTGTGAAATGCTTCCATGACATTTAGCTTCAGGCGACTGGCTCAAAATAAACTAAATGCCCCTTAGCAAAAAGTCACACAGTGACAGTCAATGAACTAAAAAAACAAAAAAAAAATCCATAGAAACTATGCTATGAAACCATAAATGGACTGGAAGAACATACATTAAATAAATATTGGATTAGTATGATCACAAACTGTATTTGAAACAACAAAAATGCATAAAATAATTATAATCACATTAATATATGTTACATATTCAAAGATTTAGAAATGTGTTTTAAGGATATTGCAGATTGTCCTTTTATACAAATGTGGCAAAAATGGCAGTAAGCATTGAGCCTTTCCATTTGCAATAACACGCATTTGACCAGCAGATGTCTTCAGTGTGCATGTTTCTAATCAGTGTGAAAAGTAAATTATTTTGAATGATTTTGAATAAAGAGGCTTTATTTTTCCCTTAGCAGTGGGCATATAAAATAATATTGCAAATTAAAGTAATCAATTATTGGAATCAATAATAAGCTTGAGGCTACCAGCATGCCAAGCAACTCATGAAAAATGTGAGGGGGAGAGAGAGAGGTGAACAGGTGTCTGAGGGACCTCCCAAACCCCTTTGTGACCAAAATGGTAAATACTATCTCCATATTTTTCTGGAATTTGGAAGACCTGATGGTATTGATATAAACAAATGTTAAACAAACAAATACATCAGGACTAATTCGCATGAAAAGCAGAATATTAAAATGTTTATAAAAATAATATAATATTTATCAATAATGAATAAATAGAGAGCCATGCTGAATGAAGGGGAATTATTATACGTAATTGTATGTAGTTATGCTTATTTTATGAAAAATTATATTCACAAAACACAAAACAAACATATTTATGAATATTAAAAAAGAAGTGATATTTGTGATGAATTTCCTCTAATAAATATACAATATACTTAAATGTATTTGAAATACATTTATTTCATGTTAAGTATACTACAAATACATTTTCATATTTATGTACTTAATATAATGTCCTGCAATTGTACTTTTAGTATACTAAACTGGTATACTTAAAGTCTGCTAAATTGGAACAACTAATTTTGTACTTAATGCACTTTAATTGCGCAGAAGTAGTGCTGAAGTGTGATTAAAGATATACTTAGTATGTTTTATTGTGGTAAAGTGGAACTATTGCAAGTATACTTCAGGTACACTTTAAATATTTTTCATTTAAAGTCCAATATTATTCAAAGATCATACAATCCTCATCAAAAGTAACATTAAAACATTAAAATTTTAGACTTAATATTAAGAAAAGTGCTTTGTGCACAAGTAGTATGCCAGGTAAAGTTTAATTATAATTTGTAATAAGCCTCGAGTTTTCTGTCAATAAATATGTTAATAGATTTTAACTGTAATTAGTATGAAATAAATGTATTTTAAATATATGACTTTTTTACTAGGGTCTGTCTGTGTATCCTAATTATATTAATGAACAAGTGTTGATTCTATTAAAGGGGTCATATGATGTTGCTAAAAAGAACATTATTTTGTGTATTTGGTGTAATGAAATGTGTTTATGCAGTTTAAGGTTAAAAAAACACATTATTTTCCACATAATTTACATTATTGTTGCTCCTCTATGCCACGCCTTTCTGGAACGCGTCAATTTTTACAAAGCTCATCGGTCTGAAACGCGAGGTGTACGCTGATTGGCCGGCTATCTAGTGCGTTGTGATTGGCTGAATACCTCAAGCGTGTGACGGAAATGTTACGCCCCTTAACACACTGTGATGCCGTCTCCCGGCACGGCGAGACAAAACCAATAAAACCCATTACAAATGAGGCATTTGCTGCATCCAGTGGGGACATAATTACTGATTATAATGACTTATACTGTGTTTTTACGCGTTGCGTTGCGTATCGCGCCGTGCAAACATAAAACCATGTCTGCATTTGTGATCGGAGAAACGACAAACAAGCGCTACTGGCGTTTGAACCCTTTGTTTGGTTCAAGCTTATAAGCCCTCAGTTCTCCCTTAGACTTTGTCCGTTCTCCATCATGTTTAGTTGTGTTATCACCTTCTCCTGGTTCCTGTGTTTATTAAAGTATTACGTTTTTGAATCGCACTCTGATTCTCCAGTCCCATTCCTGGTACACACCGTACACTGACAGAAGAACGGACCATAAAAAGAAGAATGAACTGGGCTGAGGACTTCATTTTCAACTTCCAGCAGGAGGATGACCTTTGGAACGATATGTGGAGGAGTTCCTGAGTGTTTTACATCTGGTGAGCTGGAGCGATCTTACAGTTAATGCTTGCTTCCGGATGGCACTCGATGATGATAATTTGTTTCGATTCCTGCTCTCTGACGATTGTTATAGACCTGTAGCAGACTTTATTAATTACGTCCTCGATTTAAATGGCTCTGATTTTTTTGTTGATGTGGAGGGATTTCATCCTGTTCCCATCTGGAAGCATGTGGGCGCTTCAGCTCACCATAAGCCAGCACCCTCCACATACCACTCCAATGAGCCCATTCCCTCAGACCCTCCTGAGTTTCCCAGAGACCCATTCCAGTCCTCAGTCCAGAAAAAGAGGCGCCGGCACTCCCTCCAGAGTCCGTTCCAGCACATGTCCCCAAACGTATTGAGCTGGCGCTCATGCTTGAGTTCTCTGCTCCATTGTGCCTCTCAGAGCTCCTGGATATGGCGCTTCCTCCAGAGATCTCAGCCCCTTTCCTCTCTCCAGAGTCCGCTCCAGGATGCTCTCCAGAGTCACAGAGCTCGGCCAGGAGCCCACTCAAGTCACAGAGCTCAACCAGGAGCCCAGCCCTCCTTCGTCTCCTGAGTCTCCGCTGGACCCATCCAGCCCTCCTTCGTCTCCTGCGGCAGCCAGCTCCGCTCCTCCAGAGCTCCCCTAGTCCCCTAGTTTTCCCCAAGAAAATTTTTTGGGGTGGGGGGGCCATATGCCTGTGGCCATAGTGGCCGAGCCGGGCAACCTGAACAAGGTCACGAAGGCCCAGCCTCCATGGCCTCCTGAATGGCCGGCTCCTCCATGGCCTCCAGAATTCCCTGATCCGCCCTGGAGACCTTCCTTGTCTCTGCCCTGTTCCTGCCCTGCACCAGCCTCCAGGGCGCCCGCGCCTTCTGGGAGGTGGGCGATATGTCACATTTATGTTCTGTTTTGGTTTAGATTTCCCTGTGTTTCTGTTCTACCTGCCTGTGACCTAGTTTTCCTGTTTTCCCTAATTAGTTAATTAATTTCCACCTGTGTTGATTAATCATCTCATTAGTTCCCTTTGTTTGGTTCATGCTTATAAGCCCTCAGTTCTCCCTTATGCCGAGTTCACACTGCACAATTTTCAAAGATGTCGCATCACTGTTGGTTTCACACTGAACGACTATCTGGGGTAGCATTCAGTTGTTGCTGTGTTCACATTGCACGATGGAATGACGACAGGAGGTTACACACTGCATGACTTTACAATAGGAAGAATCGCCGACAGCTGTCTGGTGCAGGGTTGTCAGGTTTTCGCTACAAAACCCGCCCAATTACTACTCAAAACTAGCCTGAAAATAGCCCAATTGCTTTTGAGGTGGTCCCCCAGTAAAAATCGCGTTCGGGGGTAAAATACACATTTTGTTGGCGGGGTTCTTCTGGTACAATTCACATTCCGACAGCTCTGTCTGGTGCAGGGTTGCCAGGTTTTCGCTACAAAACCCGCCCAATTACTACTCAAAACTAGCCTGAAAATAGCCCAATTGCTTTTGAGGTGGTCCCCCAGTAAAAATCGCGTTCGGGGGTAAAATACACATTTTGTTGGCGGGGTTCTTCTGGTACAATTCACATTCCAGGGCCTAAATATCACGTTACTGGGGTCGCTTCAACCTGCTGACATACAGTGGGTACGGAAAGTATTCAGACCCCCT